GTACAGCGTTGTTCAGCAGAGCGAGGGAAACTATGTTCAACATTTCATGTGATCGGACCCAATCACCTTACCGTTCCACCGCCTTCCTTCCCATCGTGGCAATTGAGTCTAACTGAAAACCCAAGTTCGAAGTGTGTGTCCATGCGTGCCACAGAATCCCCCCCGAGCTCAGCTACGCAACTTGACCACGAAGCGTTGGTCAGGAAGCACACGTGCATAGCTGGGGCTCACCCCATCACCTGCGAGTGCTGCGCTTGACCGGACTCGCTTGCGGTCGGACCGGACCTGTGCAGCGGAAGGGGGGGCAGGTGCACTGGGACCGTGTGGCCGTTGTAGTTGAAACACTCCACCGACACACGGCAAAAAAGCAAAGAGCGAGGTCAGAAAGCACTACTATGACGACGCACGGTGGGGTGAGATGTATCGCATGGGTAAGCCAATGCGAGCGTACTATATGCATGTTTCATTGGTCCAGGTGGTGGCCGACCTAATCCGGGCAAGGGCGTGCAATCTTATCCCACATCTTATGTTTTTTGCACATGCTGATTAAAGATATTGCATTGATGAAATTACTGCAAGTGTTATTTAGCCAAAGGAAATCCCACAGGGGGTTTAACTCAGGAGTTTTGGCCGGGCAATCGTTGTGATGAGGGGGATTGCTATTGGATGCTATTGGCTTCTGTGATGTATGTGATGATGGTGCCTTCTGGGGCCCATCGCTGTGGCCGTCGCTGCGGCCCGACGATTGGCGATACGCTGCGATCGAAAGCCGCTGGCAAACACCCAGCCGTATCGTTTCTGCTTGATCACGTGGGTCAAGAGGGAGGTTACGGAGCCAGCACCTGAGGGTCGGGTTGGAGGTTCCGCTGGTGCAACAGGCTCCTCCATGGAGGCCTCAAATCAATTTCAGCCGTTTCAGCGCTGTTGACCTCCCTCACTTGGAATCCCATACAGTGAGTTCTGCGCTCACGAGTCCGGGCAATTGAGGCAGGGAGTGGTGGTAAAACCCACGTCTGGATGCATCTGTGGCACAAGAGTCATCTCGGTCGCAAATGTAGGTCACCTTGGCTCTAACTAAACCAACATCGACCCCTCTTCCAGGAGACGCTCCCAAGACAATAATTTGGATGAAACAGCCCTTGGATGTGGGGGCCTCCATGGGTCTCCATAAATCACAGTTTGCGGATATCTCTTGATTGGTGACATGCACTGACTTCCTCACTTCAGGTGGAACACCTTCACATCTTGTTCCACATGGTTCCACCCATCGGTGGGTCCCATGTGGCCAGGTCACCCACATGTAGAGGCGCCCAAAGCTCTGTACAAAGTGCTCCACTTCGGCACAAGGTGCGGTTGAGCAATAGCACCTTGGGAGCACCACCCGCAAGCGAAGGCACGAGCACTGTGGTGGTTTCGCATTGGTGGTTGGGTGGGTGGAACTCAAAGCATCTCAGAAGTCTACCAAATCACGAGGGGTCATGTCAGGATTTGTCTCACACGTTATTTTGGAGCGTCTACTGTGGACAAACCAATGCAACAGACCTAGGTGGTCAAGGAGCATTGGCATTGCCCAATGCAAGAGAAATATCTGCTACTTCCATGTTTGGAGCAACTCCATCTGGAAAATACCGTGCGCCGATCGTGTCACTTGCTTGGACTCAGTTTGGCAAAGGCACAATGGCACGGTAAATGCCATCGAGACGTCAGCGCGCACTGGAGGCATCACAGGGGAGGCCGCCTGATGGGGCCGGCAACATGACCCCCCTAATTACCATAAAGGATTCCAAAATGATGCCAGAGGTGCAGACTGAGGCTAGTAGTGTAGACTTTTTCATGACTTTATTCATTGACACAAACCGATACAAACCCCGCATTTGGATCAAAACCTCTTCATATGGGAGGTGGAATGAAATAAAATCAAGTCTCTCTACATTAGATCTAATCTAACTGATCGAGCCTTGATCAAGCATCCGGAGATTGGGTCTGGGAGTCCGATCCAGCAAAAGCCTACCTTTGCTGATGGGTCGATGTCTGCCTGTCTCTTCTCCTTTCACCACATCCCTTAAGCCCTTGTCTGTGTCTCTCTCTCTCTCTCTCCCTCTCTCTCTCTCTCTCTGTCTCTCTGTCCTCTCCCTCTCTCTCTCTCTCTCTCTTCAGAGTCGAGCTGTCTACGCTGGAAACAGATTCAACGCGCGGACTTTCCGGACGGTGTGGCATGTCGCCTGAAGATCGACAACCGAGACATTGGTGTCGAAGAAGTCGCTGGGGACCCCCCCACAGAAGCTCCTCAGAAGGAGAGGTCGGCGGATCCAGGGAGGACGGGAGGTCCGGGCTGAAACAACATGGAGCATAACATAGTATAACATGACACACCTCTCCTGGTTCTCAATGGATTTGAAAAAGGGAAATTGATAAGTGTTGTGTAATGATCATGATTGCGAGCCATCAAGGTTCCGGCACAAGAACCTCCATGAATCCACAAAAGATTTGCCCCCGAATTCCCTGGCGACCTATCTGTGCACCAATCTTCTTGCCGGGCTTGCGCAAGCCCGGCAAGGATCAGCAGCGGCAGTGCCTTGTGGGGACCCCCCAAAGAACGAATTGTTCTTGTTCTCACCGGGGACCTGGATTCTCTGAGTGTGACGTTGCCAAGCTGCAGCATATGTCTCACAATTTCATGGAATTGCTCCAGCAATCTCCAGCATATGTCAACATATTTGTTCCATATTGTTCTACTCTTCTACTCTATGTTAGGTCCGGCTACTTGACCGGCAATTCTGTGAGTCGTGTTTCCCCGGTCGCCCACTTTACGCGCCCGGGCGTCGGCGTCTCCGCCACCCGCGCGCCGTTCTGCAGCAGATCCGCCCCGAAGAGCGGGCCCCACGTGGCCGCGGCGGCGGACGCGGCCGTGGGACCATGGAGCTGCCAGGTGGGTCGTGCCTGGAGGTCTAAGATGCAGCTGGAAGCCGCGCGACTGGTGGTCCCCAGAGAGAAGAAGCAGTCCTCAGGGAGCGACCCGACTCTGCGCAGAAAACAGATGAAAAACAAAGAAACACATTGAACCGAGGAACGACCATCAGAAGTGTTACTTCACTTGTCACTTGGGTGGACCAATTGCACGAAATCAATGGGCGGCATGTACCCCCCCACACAGTTGGTTCGATTAGCAGTAGCAGTTGAGTTCAACATGCCTGAGACCCCAGATTGACTGTACCTATCTAGCTAGCGCTCAAACACCCCCATCAAAGGTGGAATCTAGAGATGTTGAAAGGCTCAGGCTTACCACGCACAAGACGAAGAAGAAGAAGAAGAAGAAGGATGGCCATCGCGTGCTTCTTCTTCTTCTTCTCCTCCTCCTCCTCCTCCTTCCTTTTCTTCTTCCTCTTCTTCTTCTGATCCAAGTAGGGCCTGGGTGAGGAAAGCTGGCAGGTCTGTAAATCCTGTGGACATCCCCCTCACCTGCCTCACCCGATTGGGATGGCCACAGCACCGCTTCTTCCCCCACCTCTCGCCACCCTCCGCCAGCCCAGGCTCCCAGCGCTCCAGCTCCAAACAGCCCTCCGTCTGGCAGGCACTGGAGACGCCAATCACCCAGAGGTCCACGAAGAGAACGCTACTCCTGGAGCTCCGCGAGCGCTGAGCTCGAGCGACCCCCCCCCCGTCCGCCGGAGATGCCTTACGGGTTGGAATGCCGCCATTGACAATGCCCTACCAAAGAGTTTGCAACCCAAGGGGTTCCACAGATTTCTCCCTCTCTCTCTCCATTGTCAAGCTGCAAATCGGTACCAACTGAGTCCGTGGGCAAGAGGCCATGTCAACGCTTCTGCTGTTCCACGCTGTTTTGTTCTCTGCTTCTGGGCAGCTAAGTAGGAGGAAAAATGCTGGCTAGGTCACAAAAAAGCTTGATGATTTCTGCTTCCACAAGTCCCATTCGGCTCCTGGCACCCGTTGCCCCCGCAAAAGGGTTGCAGCTCCCAAAGCTTCGCGCCGAAGGAGCTGGGTGGAGCCAATCAGTGGGGTCTTTGAAGGTTTTGAAGTCCGATGATGTCGCAAGGGGAGTCGTTTTGTTTTGAGATGTGGGTGTGTCAGCATGTGGTGGCGCAATAGAAACCACTAGAAAGGAACATATACACGACTCACTAACATGGAAGTGGAGCCCACCCCCTGTTTGTAAAGGAAAGTCGTCTTCCAAGGGACCATACCATCCCCTTCCATGTTTGGTGAGTCACAGGGTAGATCAAAACCTTGAAAACCGTGGCGTCTCACAGTCGCGGGTTGGTCTCGTGCCACTTCAAATGCCGGACTTTCTCCGCGGGGGCTGCGCTGGATGCCCTACCCCACGTTTGACAAACATTGCACCAGCACTTGGTTTCCGACCACAGCCCTCCTTTTGCGTCGCATGGGATGGACCTGACAGCCTTTCCGTCACTGCTCCGACTCCAAGAAGTTTCAAAGTATTTGTTGCCACAGCTGTGGTGGATCCTTGGGAGTTTGTCTTGGATCCACGGTGGATCCTTGGGAGCCAACTGCACGCAGACGGACCCTCCTACCGCATTTCAGGCTGCTGCCGCGGCAGGTCGTGCGTCGGCCACGCCAACCCCCAGCTTCACCCACCCCCACCGGGCGAAATGTCACTGGCCAAGAGGCTGCAAATCTCCCCGGAACGACTGCAAGTGCAGAGGTTCCCCACGCACACGCAATCATTGCTCGCATCAGCTGCGTAGCAGAACTTGTAGCGGCCACCTGAACGTGTTCGAAGACGGTTAGCCAGTTGGGTGGGGTTGGGCTACGTGGTTTGGATTCAAACATGTTGTGGTGCCTGAAGGGTTGGCTGGATGAAGATGTTCAACAATGACAATCATCAGGGAAAAAATAACAAGTTGATACGAAGTCGACGAAGTCCCAGGAGGGTTGACCTGATAAAGATGTTGAAATCATCGCTTCAATAACCAAGTCTTGGCTTCTCCCCGAAGAGTGATGTTGTGAAGCTTGTTGGGGCCCCTCCACAACCAGAAGTTGCTGCATGACCGTTGCTGCGAAAATCCGGGGGGGCTTGAATATCGAAATAGCTTTGTAACCCGCCGCGCGCGCGTTTAGGCGCTAAACTTCATGCAGTGAAAATTGGGAGAATTACAAATCTCATCCGATTGCTTCTCTGGCTCCAATTTGTTCCACTTCTTGATCAATACACTTTTCACACACCCCCATCATCGAACGCCTGGAGGCCTGGATTCGGTTACATTTCTCAGCCTAAGGCCACATGACATGGGTTAAACATCCTGGCGAGGTTCGTCGGCGTCCGTATGGCCCATTGTTGTAAATGGCATAGTAGTTCAAGGAGCTTACAGCAGATGGTGGTTGATTTCTTCCTGTATTTGGTATGTAGCTACATACAGCAACACTTACAGCAACATAACTTCATACAACTTCCATCTGGCCACAGGTCCTCCTTCAATACTATCCCCATCCCATCGCGAAAGCCCACGATGGAAGCCGCCTTGCATGAAGCTGAAGTTGGCGTTGCTCGCCAAGCGGTTCTCCCCCACCAGGCTGAGATCTAATGGCCAAACGCTCTCCCCCGGTACCTTGTCGCATGCAGGGCTGGTGGAGCAATTCTGGATCCCTCGCCGACCCGGTTCAGAAGGCAGCGCCGACCCGGTTCAGAAGGTAGCCCTTAGCCTACCCTCAGTTCAACAAGCATGGACACCTAGAAGAGTGGCATGGACACTTGCACCGGGAAGAATAACCTGAAACCTGAAAATGGACCTTCAGGTTCCATGTGACAATGCGGGTCTCCCCCGCGGACGTAGAAGAGTGAATTGGAAGACCTCTAGCCAGTGCTTGCTCGAGCACTCCCAACAAACCCCTCGCGGGCAGGCTCCCTCACACTGCGCCGTCTTTCACCCTTCCACCCCGGGGAGGCGTTTTCAACAGACCGGGGGCTCTACACTCCGAAGACTCACGGAACCGGGAAGTGGAGGGAGTGAAACCCACCGGACCTGTTTGGTCGGATCTTGGTCGTCCGAGTCCGACTCCGGGGCTCTTCCGGACGGCGAGCCACGGCGATCCACCGAACACCTCGAGGGAGACGGGCAGCGCAGCGGTTCAGCAGCTTCCCGTCGGAAAGAGCTTGGGGACACCTTCCAATTGGGTCCATTGATGTCGGCGTCCAGCGTATGTTCGCTCCACCGATTCAACCCGAAAGCCCTCCTCCGCCGCTCGGAAAAACCTCCGAAGGGGACCCTTGGAACCCGCCCGCTCATCCCCTTCATGCCCATCTTCCCCTCCGGAGGGGCACCGGCGCGTCGTGGAGCGCCACTGGGGCTTCGCAGTCGGAGGCCTGTGCCTCGGTGGTCACCAGCTTCAGCATGGCTCTTTGATGGACCGACCTCAGCAAACTGCGGGGACCCGCTGGCCCCAGGGGGCACATCGGGACATCGGTGCTGGAAGTGTCTGGGGTGTCTGGACGTGTCATTTGCTGCAGAACGTAGACCATTCCGCCACGGATGTAGAGAGAGAAAGAGAGAGATAGCATGGGCAAACACGGAGCGGTGACTTTGTTCTGCAGAATGGTCTGCAACTTATATAACGCAGGGTGTTCATTGCTTTATGACTTTATGAGCCGGGAGAAGTTAGGATGGCCACCCCCACCAAAAGGGTACGGAGTATGGAATGCTTTTGACTTGCTTTCCCTCCTGAACATTTCCAGCACCAGCAAAAACCAAGTCGACACATGCAAATCGTGACTATGTACTCTATTTGGACATCTCGTGACGCCAAACAGCTGGGCGGCGCAGCTAAACCGCCGCACCCCACGTGCTGTCCATTCGCGCATTCGCGCCGTGCCGTTCGCTGCGGCCGAGGTGCGGCGTCAAGCTGGGTCGTGCGCGGCCGGCCGGGCAGAGGCTCCAGGTGCCCCAGCCGGCCGCCCAGAGCTGCCTGCTCCGTCGGCCAGAGGCGGACGCGAAGGCCGCTTGTCTCACGGCCCCCCCAAGGTGGATCCGAGATCCCGTGCGATCAAGTGCACAGGTGGAAAGATGTTGACAGATTTCTATAGTTTTGATTGTACGATATGGTGGCCCTGCAACTTGAGCCTGGTTTGAGAGGTTGGAGATGTTTGATGCATCGGAATCTCCAACAAGCAAGCTGTTTGATATATCATGATATATCTGTGCAAATGTGCAAGTCGTGTCTGTCACGCGCGTTGTTCTAGAGGGTCCGCTTATCATCTGGTCAATAGCGTGTAATGCTGTGGGCGTCATGCTCTTGAAGGAGAGCAGTCTGGACAGTGAGGCTCATGCGGAAACATAACATGATTACAACATAAATATATTATATATAATATATATTACTGTAATACACTGTAATTTTATACGATTTTATATATATATATATATATTCTATTGGCAGTTCATTGCATGCTTTGGGAAGAGAACATTTTCTTCTACAGTCGCAATTTCTTCTGTCGCAAGAGACCATGTTGGTCAAAGCAGCATGAATTTTCAAGATATGAATGCTCCCCAAGGGTGCGGGTTTCTTTGCGGAAATTGTTTGTTGCGTTTGGGGGGGGTGTTTTTGCGGTCGTGGTTTCTCTGTAGTTCCTTCAGTGGAACTGGAAAAGCGTTGCGTTTGGGGAATCTTCTTTGCGGTCGTGGCTCTCTATAGTTCCTTCAGTGGAACTGAAAAAAGCTATACTACCTTCGTATGACATGGGATTTGCAAAACACACATGGAAACTCACACATTCCCAAGTCATCTGCCTTGTCCCCTTTGTGTCCAGAGTGTATAAATCTCATGCCATCAGGCAAAAATAAACTAAAAGATGATAATGCGAAACATCACCAGATTGCCCATGCAACCCAATGCAAGGCTGCTCTTGAAACCGTGCCACAAGTCCTATCTCATCCTGCTCTACCTATAGCCACCTAATGGTGCCAATATGCTTTTGATATAACATAGGACTTCCCCTACTAAACTGTTTGATATGACAGCTGTCCTTCGTCTGCGCTGCATATAGCTCCAAGTCCGAATTAGAGCAAAAAAACAAAGCTTCGGCCGCACGGCGAACAAACATGAGACAAGTGCATCATAACCGAGAAGGGAATACAGAATGAAAGCGTGTTGTTCATATGATGCACTTGGGTTGCTCCTTAAGGTGAACTAAAACATACTAAAACGCCACCACCAGTGGAGCAGAAACAAAGTGGGAAAAGCATATAAGGCCAGAAAAGCAAGCATAAAGCAACAATAACTCAAGGATTGAAAACAAACTTGTCAAAAGGTTCAAAAGTGAAAGCAACAGAGACCATAGGAAGAAAAAGCCCCTACGATAGGGAATCAATACGCCACAACAAAAAGACGAGAAGAAGGAAAGTAAAGGAGAAAAGCCAGGAAGAACAAACAAAGCGCAAAAGGAGCAGGAAAAGTAATAAAAACCTGCATTCACAAAGAAAGCAATGAAAAGCAAGGAAAAGAAAGACAAGCACAGAAAAGCAGAAAAGGCAAGAAAAGCGGGAGCAACCACAGAAAAGCAATGAGAAGCAAAGAAAAGCGGCAAGAAAAACGGGAGAGATCATAGAGAAGCAAGGAAAGGCAAGAAAACACCCACACAAGTAAAATAACAACAAGACAACAAAAAATTGCCCTCCATTACTCCCTCCATTGCACAAGGATAAACCAAATTGTAGAACTTGCTTCGTTCTCTTTCCAAGTTTTTGGGCGATGGTCATCCGATCGGATGATGGCCACTCTCTCGGGCGCCGGCCGTTTTTGTTGGGGCCGAGAAGCATGCCATCCAAATGCCATGGGGGCACCGGATCGAAGTAGGAGAGCAGCAAATGGTTCTCCTATAACAGCCGAGAAAAGGGCGAGATGATCGGAGCAAAACCAAGAGGACCATGGTGACCATGGCCAGAGAACGAAGAAGAGTACTGTCGTAGAGTAGAGTCGAAAAGGGCACACACACCCCTGGCAGGTTTCCACCCACATGTCCCATCTGTGAGGCTTTTGGATTCTCATCAATCCAAAGAGATCGGACCCCGAGATCGGACCCCAAAGGGTGGGGCCCAACTCGCTCCGCAACCCTGGCGCATCCGTGCGATCCGTGGGGAAGCAGCGAAGCGGCGTCCTCTGGGAGCGAACCGCCATAGAGGCGCACCGTGGCCGTATTCTGCGAGAAATGCCAGGACAACCAGAAGTCTCGGGCGCCTCTTTCGAAGCTTCTAAGAAGGCTACGAGTAGCGGACAGTGCTACTAGTCGGAATGGCCTCCTAGCCTAGCGATGGCCTCCAACATCTCCAACCAAATAGCTATTTGCTACTCTATTTGCGACTAGTTGGAGCATCGAAAGCAGAAAACCCACCCTGGATCCGGTGATCTGGTCTGGCGCTTCCAGCCACACGGCGATTTGATTGACCCAAAGTGGCCGGCTCCCAATGTTCTTTGAAATCGCTGCAGGCCAGTTTAGACAGATCTGGAATTCCCCAGAACATGGAAAACCTCACAGTTCTGCTTACTCCATCATCCAAACTAACCCCCCGTCACCCCCATCTACATCATCTACATACTCAGGTCTACCCTTCCTTGGTGCAGTCATGATGCTTTATTCAGTGAGATACCTGGGGCCCTCTCCCCTTAGACCTTCATAGACCTGGTGTTACAGACCAGACCACCCCGCCGCCCCTGCGCCTGTGCCCGCTGCCGTGGTGGACTCCGAGACGCCCAGCGACACGTCGTGTCGGGCGCGGCGCAGGAGCAGTTGGCCCTCGAAGGTGAGTTCATAGCCATCCTCCAGTGAAGGACCCAGGAACAGGCTGGCATTCTCCGCCTCCAAGTGCCTCAGAAACCAACAAATCGGGAAAACAAAAAAAACCTCGTTCATCCTCTTTCGAGGTGTAAGAAGTGTCGAAAGCGAGTGAAACCGTCATGTGCAAGAAGGAATCTTGACTGATGCCTCCAGAATTGTTGGCCGTTTCACCTGGTGTGTGGCCAGTGGGCAGCCAACGAAGGCTTGTTAGGATCGTCTTCTTCAAAAAGAACATCTCAGGGGCCCTGGGCACCCAAGCTTCATGGAGTTTTGGGGCTCTCTTCCAAGCTTGGATTCATCGACTTCAAGGGCCAACGAGTTCGAAACTGGCATGTTCACCCCATTAACCGTCCATCCTTCCCATCGATTTCCATCCCCAACACTGAGGCAAGATCTCGCTCGCTCGCTCGCCGGGTCACAGCAAAGCTTCCACCACATCTCCCGTGCTTGGAAAGCGCAAGGTCAGATTGTAAGAGGCCTCGCTGTTGGTCGTGTCCACCTGATCACCGCAGGTGGGCGGTCCCGTACCGGAGGTGGGTGGGCTGAAGACGCGATTCTGCCCTGCCAAGTTCAGGTGCAAACCTGCACTGGGAGCAGGCTCCATTCCACATATCATTCGATATAACAACCGTAACGTAAGTGTTTAATGGGGGACGGAGTTGACGATCGGAATTGTACAAGTTGATGATGGTTTTGTTGGCAGGACGGGCCAAACCAGCTGCTCCAAGTCACACATTGGTAGTTGGGAATGGCAATCTCCAAGCCGTAGATCTCCACCCCGGCACTCACCTCCGCGTGCGTATAGAGCAGTTGACTGCTCTTACCCAGTCTCAAGAAGGATCCCTCAGGCCAGCTCCACGCCAAGCCCTGGGCGATCTCATCACCCGCCACTATGGCTAGCCATGTCCAGACGAGGCAGAACAGCATCTAGGGGGCTCATGGACCCCGCGCCATGGCAGAGCCAGGTCTGGGTCAGCTGCCCTAAAAGGGCTGCCCTTTCTTTTGGACCCCAGCAGAGCGGCCAGAGTTCTTCTCCAGCCTCAAAGCACCTAATTTGCCGGACAAATAGCTGCAAATTGGAGACACCCATCATGCTCGTAGGGGGGCACGGTGAGGGGTGTCTACTATGAGGGAGGATACGGTACAGCCATAACAAGACTGCGTTGGCCTCTTTAGTGTGCTTCAGCTTGGCGCTTGGCCCCATTTTGCTTGCAACAACGGTCTGCTTTACTCACTGCTATAATTGCATCGTCCTCTCTGCAAGGCTACTCATCCATGGCCCACAATCGGCGACAACTCGTCCAGAACCCTCCGAGATTGCTGGGCCAATGTGCAGCAACTGGTGTCCAGCAAATGGCCCTCGAAAAATAGACACTGGCAAACCCTCGTCGAGCACGAACATGACATGAGCCACTGGAACACCAAGGTCGGGTGTTCCGACTCCAAGCTTTTCAGGCAGCTCCATGACCCTTGCCCCGCTCCCCTAAGCAGGGGAACAGCCCCCCCCACCGCTCCAAACTGGGACGTCCACAGAGTACCACGTCCAACTCCAACGCTTCGGCACGGGCCTGGCGCAGGGTTCGCCTCGGGACCCTCGGGACCCTCGGGACCCTCGGCCCATGGGTGCCCAGTACGCCCAATTGGGCCATCTAGAAGCTGAAAGAGGAGGGATGTTGAGCTCAGTCGTATGGTCATGGCTGGAGGTGGCTCACACTGGCTAACCTCCTCCGTTACCCACCACATCTGGAGTGGAGTGAACCCAAAAGAAGCAATTTGCCACAGATGCCAAAGGTTGCTGCTCTAGACTCAAGATGCTTTGGCAAAGAACTGTTGCAGGTGGTCATTCAGGTACAACATGTGTGTGCCAAAAACAGGTGATGACAGGAAAGGTGACAACAGCATCTGGTCAAACCCTGCTGTGCTCAGCCTGTGTGGGCAAATGAGCCGGTGAACCTAGCCTCAAAGGTGACCCACTGCCAAATCGGAAAAGGTCATCCACAGGCTGCGAGTTCCTGGGTCTTACTTCTTGAGCACCTTCTCGTCTACTTAGGACTCGCCGGCTTCGCACGGCAGGGTGATCTCCAACCAGTGAAACTCGCTGGGACTTCTTCGCCACCCTCAGAGTGGCCTCTGAAAGAAGCCAATTCGCCCAACTCCAGCGGCTTCTTGTAGCACAGACCTGAAAGTCATCCAGACAAAATTCCCCGGGTCACCACACAGTGCAAGTGAAAAACAGGTGTCACTAGCAAACCCTACACTGGGACTCACTCACATGGAAATGGAAAACCCTCCTTGGTAGAGAGCAGTCTTTGGCTACAGTTCCTTTCCCCGAGGACAGGAAATAACATGAAAAACAAACGACACGACTATAGTCATTATGGTTCTTGGCCATCAGTACCCATCATAAACGCCCATAAATCAAGAAATCAATAGTGCTGAAACCTGTCACGTCCGACCCAAACGTCGTCCTCTTCCCCAAACCATCTGAGACTGACCCCCTTAGTGCCTTAGTGCCCCATGAACCTTTAACCACCTTGAACCCCTTTTCCATCTCTTCACTCGTGGAGTCACCAGCTGCAGGTGATCCACCCGCACCGAAGGTCACCTCCGACTCGACGACGTCGCGTCGCCGTGGTCGCGCAGCCGCCACCGGGCCGAGGCGCACTCACTGCGGCACTGCAGAGAAGCACATCCAGGCGGATCTTCTGCCTCCCAAGACATGACGTGAAGCCTTAGAATTACCACAGCTCGCAGTGGTGTTTGGGGTTCCTCCAGCCTCTGCAAGCCCTCCAGGCGACGGAGCCTCGCCGTCGTCCGAGCCGGTCCGCCGGTCGGACGGCCCCTGGGCCTCGACATTCCTTGAGCACCGTTTCGGGCCGTTTGGGTGTGACCAAGCATCAACGAGCACATGGGAAGGACGAGGAGTGGTCACGAGGCAGACATCAGTGGTTGTTGGAGGATCTAGGGAGGTGATTTTGACCTGCTGAGATCGCGATGGGAATCTCTTGATGTGGTCAGTCTGCAGTGCACGGTGAAAAAGAATTCGTCCGTCTATGGACACGGTGACTCGAAATAGAACCTCTGAACTGACCAGGTTCACCCAACATATATAATCGTTCTTGAGACAAAGCTGTCAATCCGCGGCATGCGGTTGAAGTCCAACCCTTGGCTGGAGATCTTCGGCGCAGTTCTGCACGGACGCCCGGTAGGATTCGCAGGGCCATGTCTTGCTGCAACCACGCCGAGCAAAGAATGCCGCCGAGCAACGCCCCACGCCAGTTTCTCACGCGGCGATCTGGGCGAAGGGCTCTCCCACTGAGAGTATACAGTCAATAATTGGCAATGGCACCCCCTTGCAGATTAAAGGAAAATTGTCTTCCACTGGATAATTTCAGGGCCCACGTTAGTCTGCAGGGGAGTAATGCTTACCCTCGAATACAGAAAGCCCATAAAGCCCCATATGGACTCATAAAGAGATGCTTGGCCATGCTGGTTCTGAATCTCTAGGCAGGCTGTTGGTCAAGAGTCAACAATCAGCTTCAATGATCAGCTGATCGACTGGAATGATAATTCTGGAACCTTAGTTGTTCATACAGTCAGGTGTACAACAGAACTTCAGGTGGTCCACTCATTTTCTGAGCTGCTGAGCTGTGTTCTCTTTGACCATGTTGATGACAAGTTAGTTTTAAAAATGCGATGATGTAAATGTTTGTAGAGCCGAATGTTTCCCGGATGTATCGTGTTGTATTCACTCTCGCCCTTACAAAACTGTAGCCCCTTCAAGGCTCGCTTTTCCGGTGCCAGATGCACCAGGCCCACGGCCCATCCGCATCGCTCATTCCCAGGGCCCAGGGCACCCCTTTCCTTCAACGAAACGCAGAAGACCTCTGATAGTTGCGGTGTAGCCAGCCAGGCCAAAGCATGGCAAAGACTCAATGGCCAACCAACCTCTCTTCCTGGTGCAATTTGAGCCTCTACAAGGTGGATCCGCCGCACTGCCCTAGACCCCAAACAAACGCTCCGAACACAAACCGCCCGGTCCAGCTTCAAACGGGCACCTGCCGCCAAGCCTTTCATCAAAGGCTTCACGGTGCCACGCTGGCCACCACGACCACGGCCTTCCAGGTGGGTCAGATGGGATGTGAAAATCATGGTCAGATGAGTCAAATGGGTCAATGATATAGCTACAAATTGATTTGTTAAAAGGCTATATATATAATACCTGGCTAGCTTGCTGACACAGCTGTGCATGCATTCGTTTTCGTGGGGGGTTCGATCAGATGTTGCTGCGGCTCACCCCCCCCAAAAAAAAAAAACAGGGCAGGCTATGGCAAGCTGTGGGTCACCACTCTCTGGCCTCCATGGGGCTTGTTGCTTCAGGCAGCCGGCCCTACTCGCATGGCCGCCACGGGCGTTGCCCCCCGCCTGCACGATCTCCGCGCCGCACATCGGACACACCCATGGGGGCGCATCAGTTGCCGGCGAGCGAGTCGGAGACGTGGTGAAAGCAAGGTCCGGACAGAAGGGAGATGCCCATGATGCCTGGACTGATTTCACCGGTGTTTCCTTGTTTGATGACTTGGGGGGATTGTTTCTGATCTTCATGGAAAGCTAACAATTGAGATGTTTCATGGGAGCCGGAAAAAAAATCTGGTGAAATCTGCACATCGACCGTTTTTCCCCATTTCTTTAACAAGGCAGCCGGCCACGTCGACCGTCGACCAATGCGTCGATGGGCCAACAGAGGGTTGAAGAACGAAAGTGCAGTGTTGACCATGTGTGGCTACTGCGCTGATCGACAGTCTCTGGAGCTTGAGAGACTAAGGCCTGGCACGCATGGATCTCATGGATGGTGCATGGCTATCTTTCAGGCTTACATCACCATGTATGTTCATACCGCCTTTGAGCACGGTTGACCCTTTGACCCTGTGGAACACCCATGGCCCATGGTGCGACCACAGCAAGCTGCGGAGAGTCGCAGTCAGGGGTCAGGGGTCAGGGGGGGTCAACGGTCCCTAACAGACATAGAACCAGAGGACAGGTTCTCTACAGGAAATGGTCACCAAAATGCGTCCCCACTTCTTTGCAAATCGGGGAAGTGCCCATGCTTTTGGCGCAGAAGGCCAAGATAGAAGGCCAACACAGTGCTGGCTTGAGGAAAGTGGCGTTAGGGATCTTTTGGGGGGGTGCATTCGGGTACGCAATTAGAACATATTAGAACCACTATGGCCTTGAATCACAATCTCAAAAAATCTCAAACATTGAGGTCAAGAGTTGGGCCACCTTGGTGGAGTTTAATATGAAAGTAGAAGCTGGCCTCCGGACACACCATTTCCTCTTCAAACATTTCAAACTAAGGGTTTTCCACCTCCGTGTGAGTTCCAGGGAGGGTCATCCAGTCCGAGGTGCGAAAGGTCTTCCAGTGTCTCGGGTCGTGTCTCGCACGAACCAGCGCCTTTCCAGGTCGCCCCTTTTCCTCGAACCGCACCGCTCCACGAAAACGGCGTGGAAACCGGCTGCCCCTCAGGTCTTTTGAGGCTTCACCTGTGCTTTGGTCGAAGCAGGGTGCTACTCATGTGCTTCAATCGACTGTGCCAGGCTGCCATGGTAACTGAGTCCGGCACGCTGTGCCAGCGTTTTTTGGCATCCTCCTTGTAGAAGCCTGAGGCTTGCAAGGTTCCAAGTTCGGAGGTTGTGAAAGAAGTGTCTTGTGGCCGCCCCCCCCTGAAATCGCAGTCCACGTAATTATTTTTGACGGCGTTGCATGTATCCGATATCCTCATTGAATCCTCATGTTGATCCCCTTCACTTCACGAAAGTCATCCACGCTTTCTCCAGGGCAAGGCTCATAATTAAGGGGAACCTCTTGTAGGCATTGTAGACTCTCACATCCTATCCTATCCAAATCCAAGCTTGTTTGGATGCAAGATGATGCAGAATGCATTGCTTTAGGGAGATTCTCGGATCCGACTTTGCCAACCCCCGCAAACATGCCACGCGAACTGTGCAAACACGTCTCGAAACGATGCGTGGCACTACCACCATCAACACCAGGAATCAAGAAGTTTGACATACGGTAACTGTTATATAACTTGTATGGATGCGGGCCGAACCAATGGATGAAATTGGTTCGGAACACCTCACCTGGCTCACACCTCTCCTTCCAAACCAAGAGGAGCATGGACCGAGGGGCTCAAGCTGATGCGACCCTTCGCTCGGTCCACCTGGGGGGGGCGACGCCACTGACTGACGAGAGGTGTGGGGTGGAACCCAGCTTGTCAGAACTGGGCGGGTGTTCCCTATGAAGCTAAGATAAACCAAGTACCCACACACACACCCAAGGGGGTGGTTCATGGACACCCCTTAATCATTAGACATCCCTTACGGGCCCTGGTACCTGATAGTATGTGGAAGTGTCGTGAGGCTCGAAACTGCGCGATCCGGCCAATCCGGGCTGCTCAAAGACCCTGACATCTGCTGACCGCGACGGCATGCTTTCTGAGACGACTGCATGGCGGACTGCATGGCACTCTGGCACTCACATTGTGCACCAAACCACCCGACACAAATGGCACAATGGTGCAAACGTTCCTCGACTCTCCCGAGATCCTCAAGACGAGGGCCGTGCTTTTTCCACGAGACACTTGCCTTGTAGCTACACTTCTTTGGAATGATCTCGGAATCGCCCACCTTCCACGGCCGAACTCGCGACGTTGCCGGAGAGAAAGGATTGGGAGTGTAGATTGGAGCTGATGCACACTGCACCCACAGCCCCTCTCTGGCCGTCTGTGTGAAATCCTTTCGGTTCTGTCCTTTCACTTGGGGGTTGTACCCAAGGAATCGAACCATTGAGGAGCAGTTGTGCCCCTTGTCGTTTTACCAAGGTGTTTTGATGTTTTTTGTTCTTAGACCACCACGCACAAACAAAAAAAATAACAAACAAAACCAGGTCAACCTCGTTTTTGGCCCTGAAACCGTGCCGATAAAGTCGAATTCTTCAGATGCCACAGTTTCTCAAAATGGAGACACCAGGATGGTCACGAAGCATGTCTGATACCTTCTCCGCAACCATCATGGAAGATGTTCCAACATGTCGTAACTGGTTAGTTTGCACTCCGACTCGCTATATAACATGGAACTGCCCGGTTTGTAAGAGGAAAGTTGTGAACATCCTGTTTGCAGGGGTGGGGCCATCCACATCCATAGTGATTTGGAGGGTACTTACCCGTGAAGTTTCAGCATGCCCGCAGGGCCCGCGCCAGCGTGAGCGCCCTCCGCTCCAGAACCGTGCCATCGAGTGCCACCAGCGTCACTCGGAGGCTGCAGCTCCTGAAGTGTCCGGCCAAGCCGAGCAAGTCGCCTCCCCAAACACGGACGAAACTGGCAGAAGCCCTCATCCTCCCGAGCCAGGAAACGGGCCATGCATCAGAAGTTCTGGAGTGTCTGGAGTTCGGGCAACGACAAGCACCCTACTATATAAATATATAACTATACATATATAACCAACCTGCCAACCCCCAGGACATCCCATGAGCATCTAGGTGGCCTTCAGACGAAGGAAGACAACCCTGCAGCTTCCTACGGCGGTTCCCTCGGTCTTCGTTCCCGGAATCGCTCCTGCCGGAGAATGCCACCGTCACAGCAGCCTCGGCAGGGTGGAGAGGGATGAAGCGGGGTCGAGCTGCGTCCAAAACCCCAAGAAGCCAGGCTTCACTCCAACTCATGTTCCCAGAAAAGCGGATGTCCTGGAAGACTGGACCATGTTTTCATCTGGCCCATGCACCTCATCACGCGACCTTTTCTGGGAGGAAGACACACCCCACTCCCCCACGTCCGGACCTCACAGGCGCCGGAGGAGTCGTCCTCGAGGGGCCTCTCCAGCACGTCCTTCTCCACGTCGACATAGACCTTCTTCGTGCGGCCCAGCAGGGCACCAAGAAAAAAAGGGTGAGATGAGGGGGGAAGACCTGAAGGTACTCCGGAAGAACTTACATGGACCCTGACCATGGCCTGCTGGAAGATGGCATTGGTCTTCAAACCCGTGGTTTTCAGGATCCATGTCAGTCTTCAGGGAGGTCAGAGACCCAAAACTGCCAGGAAGCCAATCCATGATTTGGAGGGTTATTTTTTCAAAAATGTTGGAAGAAAAAACGAAGGAGGCTGGAGGGGGCGGCCCCCAAAAACAATTGAAGGGTTCGGGAGCTCACCGGCCGGTGTTGTGCGTCCATACCTGCTTGTTGGCTCCTCGTGTCTTTGTTTGGGTTGGAAGGAGCTGTGGCAAACCTTTGAGAGGAGAAGCTCCGACAAAAAAAACTCGAGGAACTCCCTCCTATCGTCATGTTGGCTTTCGAAAGCGGTGGAGGGATCTGGTTTGGCCATCGAGATTGGAACACCAGCGGCGGAGGTTGTGCCCAAAGCCTCTGCCTTTCAAGAACGAACCAGCAGTTCCAAAGGGGTGCTTATTGGAGGCTAGGGGTGGCCCTTATCCACTCACTGCATGGGACGAATAAAACCCATCCCTTGGAAACTCCTGGTGCATCAACTATGACATGCAGTGGTCCTTGTGGTCCCGAGTCCCAGCGCTTCCCGCCCGCCCCGGCCTTACACTTGGCGCCCTCGTCGCTGAAGGAGAACTGCGAGATGGGCTTCGTGCCCATCCGCGCTTGCATCAGTTGGCCTGACCGCCCGGACGCCCGGGTATGAGGACCCCGGGCGTTCCAAGCCGAAAACACGCCGAACACCACCGGTGTTCACGCAGGACCGGCTGTTTTAGAGCGGTGGGTGTCTCTTTAGTCTTGAGGGCGGAGAGTCGGGGCGGCGCCTTCCGCCACCCCATCTGTTCCGTGTGCGTGAATGCCGTAGTTACTGGAGGTCTCGAATTCTTTCGAACATATACCAATTCATGGGGGGAAAACACCCATCTGCATGCACCCACAATTCTTTTACCCCGTCTCTGGGTGCTATCACGGTGCACGACCCTCCTCACAAAAGAGAAGTTCATCCTGCCTGTCAAGAAGGTTGAATGAAACAAAAAGAGCTCCGGGAGAATAGGAGGATGCTCTGCCCCTAGTTCAAAGGAGTCCCCTTTCTAATCTTCAAACGATTAACACCAGATCCTTAGAGGGCCCAACAGGGCCAAGCCTGAAGGGCGCTGAGCGCCAGAGATGCAGCAATCTGGAGCTGTGGGGGTGTCGGAACTGGGACTGCTGCGGTGCTTCGACTGGCTACGACACGCCTGGCCTTCGAGCTCCTCCACGCGTCTCCGCAGCTCTGCGACGACTTCTGCAGCGGCTGCGCCCACCGCGTCGGTGCCATCGCCTTGTCAGTCCAAATGCAACAGTCGCGCCCCTACACTCCAACCCAACGGTCTGATCGAGGAATGGGCTTTGACATGCTTTGACCATGCTTTGACTGGATGAACCCCCGGGTTCATCTGTTTCCTCTTAGGAAACCGAATGCGGAAAAGGCACGAACCCCGGCCATGTCCATCCGTCCTCTCAGATGCGGACCGCTCTCACCGGAGGGAGCGGCGTCGCCACCCGCGTAGCCACCCTGCGTCGCCCGGCAGCCAATCCGAGGCTCAAAGAGCAAACCCACCAGGTGCACCCAAACCATGCCACGGCCCGAAACCCGTGTGGCCTGCAGTGCCTGCCCCAAAATGAAGCACCACTTCTCCCAGCTGCTCAGCTGCTGCCGAGCTCGATGGGAACGCTGTGAGATCGAGTCAAGGGGATCGAAGGTGCTTTCCCCAAGCGTCCTCCATGGCCAATGCCCATCAAAGGCCATGGATGATCCACCTTCGATGGATGATCCAAAAGAACATCCGCCTTGATGGAAAGGTCTCCTGGATTGATGAGAAAAAAGGGATCCCAAAGCGGTGTCTTCCCCCCGAAAGTATCCCCCACCTTCCAGGAACCTTCCAGATCCAAGTTCCTCAGGAACCCCCCACCACCTCCCCCCACCTCTCCGGCCGCCTCGGGGACGCCTCGATCTTCGAGCCGGCGCCGCGAGGCCCGAGACGGCGCTCCCCAGACCGAGCTCCGAAGTCCAAAAGAATTCACCCTGCCGGGAGTCACCAGACGGGGTACCGAACTTGGAGGAAGTCGGGGTCCCCATGACCCACGTCGACTGGATGGGACGAACAAAAAACCACCCCATCTTGTGACTCCTGGGAAGTGTTTTTCCTCCAAAGGCTGACGCTTGGAAGGTGGAGGTGGAATGCGTCTGCCTGGACCTAGCTGCTGATTCAGCAAGCCCAATCATGTAAGCGGCTGATCGAGAAAAAGAGCCCTCCCAATTGTAAAACCTCTTCAGGCTTGGGGGGAGTGAAATAGAATCAAGAGTCTATATCCTTCCTCCCCGACCTGGATTTCCCCTACGAATCCAGCAGCAGGTTCCCAAAGTTGGAGTCGGAGTTGGTCCTTCTGACGAACGTCCATCCCGCAGAATGGGGTTCCTGGGGTAAGTTCAGACTCGAACCCTGTCTGAAAACACCCAATCTTTAAGAAAAATACTGTCAATGAGTGTACGGGAATATCCGCTCTGGCTTTTGAGAAGTTATTTTGCATATATAATATTACATAATCTTGAAGTCAGACCGGGTCCGGGTCCCTTTTCCCTTGATCTTGTCCCATCCTTTTTCCTGCAAAAGGTCAACCTGCGGCAAATCAGACTGGAGATTCCCCAAATCTTCCGCCCGCCCGGGCGCTGACACCTCACCCCCCTGACTTCTTCCAGGCACCAACACCCCTCTGGCCGGGAAACCGGAGATTTTGGAACTGGAGAACTCCTACATGGCCTTGCCTTTCCCTTCTGAAATCAGTAACAAGTTCTTGTGGGCCCCTAGGCCACAAGGCCCCAGCAAAGCTTCAAACCAACTGCACGTAACTGCACCCCGCACGCCTAGCTTCACAGGCGCACCACCCGTTACAAGCCCAGGCCTTAGATGGCTGGATGGCTGTCATGCCCCCTGCTCTTGGGACATTCCACCAAAACCCGGGGCTGGAAAGCCGTTCGGGTGCCACGCATCATGTCAGATACCTCCGTCAGGGCCGCCATCAGGGTGGGACGCTGTCTCTGCTGACCGAAACGCCGACTCGCCGACTCCTCGCTCCGCTCGCTTCGGGGACCCTGTCTCGGCTCCCGGGCCCTGCTCGGATCTTCGCATGCTCTGGGACCTGGCGGACCCGGGGTCCATTTGGGGTAGTTTCAGAAGCCAATGTAGGTGTATATATGTGGATATGTGCCATATACAATATGCATGGCGTGTCTGGAAACTCTTGCTCTTGCCTGTCTTCTCTTGCCCTCTGAGACTTGCATTCCAACAACCTCCGAATTGCATTGATTGATGATTGGTTGGGTCTCATCTTGTGGTGGACACCGTCTGCTCAAGCAAACGCATGACGCATGCAAATGCAAAAGTCCCCACGGTATGAGACTTCTGTGTGTAGGTGTGTGTGTATATATATATATATCTCTCTCTCTCTCTCTCTGTGGATTGGAAAAGGGTCTGTACATCCAAGGCGCCCCCTGAAAGTGCACAGGATGGTGGACTTACACGTTCTTAGTGTAGAAGATTCGTGGAGTCGTTGAACATTTCTCATCAAGTTGGGCCACTTCACGAGAGGTCCCCCATTTATAAACGCTGCCTGCCTCCCAGGCGACATCGTTGTGGGCGTAGTAGTAGCTGTTGGTGCCCTTCTGCTCCAGGTTCCGCCCTGGATCCCGGGCGATCAAAATGCCTCTCTCGCCCAGGTATGTAATTAGGTTTTGTGTTTGTTGTCCAACACCCCTGTTTGGGACCAAATCCATGACTATCCCGGTCCTGGTGACAAGGACCAATCATGATAAATATGTGTTTCCTTACATACTCTCTTGGATCCGTGTGGAACTTTCGCCGTGTTGGTGCTCTTGGTCGATCATCTCAAAGGGTCCGTGCCAGGCTGCCCCAGGGCCCTGGGTGAAAGTTTGGCTGCGCAAGACTCCTGAAGCATGTTTGAGGGCCTACTACAATACAGCGGGGTAGGGCGGGCTACTGCAAAAAACAGTTTCCTGCGTTGTATTGTAGAGGGTGCTCTACGCCCTGCATTATTGTAGTGCGGGTTACTATAGGTTCTAAGCCCCGCTCTAACGACTCAAACTTCATCTCTCGACTCCCTCCACCTCTCCCCCACCCGGCCAAGCTCCGACTCTGCACGCGGCAGTGCAGGCTTCAGCGTGGACATGGCGCGTGCGAATGCAGGAGGGCTCAACTACCCAGAAGTGAATGAAAGCTGCTGGAAATCGGAAGCTTCTGGGTGCAAGATCAAGATTAAGTTTAACTAGGGTACGACGCCTTGAGGCACTTGTGTGTGGGTAGGTGAGGGCCTTTCTGAAACACAGCCGGGAGCACACCCAAAAGTTAAGTACAAGAAAAGGAAAAAAACGGGTCGTCAATGTGGACATGAGCTTTGTGTCTGCCGCCGCGCTCTGTCACTTCTGGCGACAGGGCATCGCCAAGTGCACAGGGAACTGTTGTCCATCGCCACTTGCCCTCATTCTTCTTCCACAGCAACTGGCAAACGCAGCGAACGCGGCATTCCAGCGTTGTATTCATACGTCTCTTCACTTGCTTTGGCATGAAGCATTTCAAACAGCCCCACGCCGGATCAATGCACTGTGTGCCTGCAACCTTTACTCCTATCCTGTGCAGGAGATGGAACGGACCAAGTGAGAGGCCAACGATCAGAGTCCAAGATTGCTGTCGAGGTCAGAGACATCAACAGTGACAAACAGAAAGACCAAACAGGATCAAATGGAGGAGGGCACGGGCCAAATGCAACAAATCGCACACAAAGGACAGAAGAGACAGCAACGCGTCAACAGAGAGCCTCATGGGAAAACAGCTGCGAGCCAATGTGTACACATGAACGACATTAAAGTTGTGCGAAAACGAACAAAAGTACCCTCTACTGACATTGACAGAATTACCCCCACCCCACCCTTCCCCCCAACAAATAAAAACATACTGGAATGGTTCATTGTGTTTTCGCATATCATCCACAGGCGCCTGAAAGCGTTATAGTTATGGGAACTACCCAGAAGTGAATGAAAACTGCTTGAAATCGTAAAATGATTGGTGCAAGAGTGCAAGATAGGGTTTAAGTTTAATTTGCTGCAGGCTATTGTCAGGCTTTGGAAAGCTTGTGGCCCAACCTGCGTGTGGTCCAGGAGATTGCTCTTTCCTAGCCCTGGATATCTCTTGATCCTGGTGTTCACATCCGTGTCTCCCTTTGCCTTTCTTGTGCACAGCCATGCTATATTATGCTGTACTCTGGTGTAATACTGAGCCGTGGCTTCAAAGGCAAGACCGACATGCTGCGTGACTGAACGCTTTCTCTTGATGAACTGTGAACTGCATAATTACAGAATGGACAAGCTTGATCTGCACCCATCTCCAAGCACTGTCATGTTCACAAACTCACATCCCCCTCAAACTTGCAGCGCAAGTTAATCAGCCGCCTTGGCCCGATCCCAAGCAGATCCAAGCAGACTTGGTTGCCACAGAGCCCTCCAACACTCAACTGGAAGGCTTTCTCCCGTGGATCTTCCATATATATATATCCCTCCCCAAAGCCCCCAACGATTAGAAGCGAACACAAGAACCGCGTGGAGAACCTCCAGCCCGTGGAACGCCGCAGCGTTCTTTTTTTTCGACTTCGAGAGGTGAAACCAGTGCCATGCTGCGCACACAGGCGGCCACGAACGGCAGAGGATGCCGATGGGAAGGTCTGAATGTCGGAGTGTGCGAGGTTGGAGCTGAACCAGCATGTGGCACCGTGCTACCCGCAGCTTTGACTTCAACGAGTGCCCTTTAGGGCTCCGGCCAAGTGTCCTTCAGCCCTATTTTGGGGATGCTGGGCGGCCGAACATGAAACTCGCAAACATCAGCTTACATCGAGCTAGAGCTTCTGGAAAGTAACCAAAATAGGTGCAGCTTTTGTCGCCCATGTCACAACCAAAAAAGGGCCTGATCCGACCATCTTCGACATCTTGCGAAGAGTCGAGTGATGCGACTGGGCCACTCCCGTGCATTCTTAGCAACGTCTATGAGTAGCTAAGCAACTCCTGGATGGCTGGCCACTGGCAGAGTCCGCTGGCCCACTACGAAGATAATTACTGCCAATATCCCCATGTTTTTTCCGCAAAGGAGGTCATCCAAGAATCAGCTCTACACTGTACACTAAGTGTATGTCCCTGTACTATGGTCTGCCTCCTGCAGCGGGGCTGGGAGCGATCTTTCATTTCGGACTCGCACGTGTGCCAGGCCTTCCTAGCCGAGTGATACAACTGGCGCCAACATCGCGCAGGACGCCCGTGTTTGGTGCGTCTGAGAAAAATGATCAATGCGAAGGCCCAGACCGGGCAACGCGGGGCTGAGCGGCCAGCGCGGCCACTGCGACCATGGAAAAGTAAGGAGCCACTTCGCCCTGATCACTGATTACGGGCAATCCCAACATCTCCGCTAAGGAGAGCCGATCCATTCCTCTCCTTGTCAGGGTGGATAGATGCATGAAGGCAAGCTTCAAAGCTTTCCATGATCGTGCCCACTCTGCTCACATTACTCAGGAGAGCATCGATGACCTCACGCGTCATTGACACGGTGATGGAAGGAAAACACGACACGGTCAACCGAGCGAAAACCCAGGCCCTGGCAGCCCAGACCGAAGCTCCCCCCAGCTGGCCCTGCTGGCTTGACTTCAGAAAAAGTCGATTTGCAAGGAAAAGTCCAGTATATATACATTATATATATATATATGTGTGTGTGTGTATTATGTTTATTGTGTTTTTAATATTGATGACTTTATATCATCTTGAATCTTGAAACTCCCTCCCGTGCGTTCCTTCCGTCCTCCGGTCGACTCCCGCGCCGAGAACACCGTTCGCGTTTCGGAGTCCGCGGACGTCTTTCGGGAGAACATGGGTGGTCACCGGTAGAACCGTTGCCGTTGCCTCGCGGGGGGGGGGCCTGATTGAATTAAAAGACCAGCGATCTGAAATAATAGATGTGGGCTTTGGTCCAGGAAGTGGTCCGCGGGCTATTGAGATCCGAACACGCTTGGGCTCCTCAAACCCCGGGCGGATTCTGCGGCCCCGCTGTGGGCCCCTGCGCTTCTTCCATTCGGGTCCTAAGTGTTGGTCCACTGGATCCGTCATGGACCTGATGAGGTAGGGATTGGTTGATGGGCCATGTGGTCGAAGCAGAAGGTCGAAGGCTCAGAAGGCTCCACCCGGGGGTTCTGAAGTGTGAAGCTTCACCGACTGAACGGGCATGGAGTGGTATGAGCCAACATGATCAACGATGCTGGCTGCAAATCAATTACAGTAAGCCCACAAAGTGAATCTCGACATATCTCGACTATTTTTCAATTGATTTCTCAATGGATTTGCGCGGCCACGGCTCCACCATGTAGCCTTCGGAAAGCTAGACTTAAAACCTGTGCATTTCTGGGCTTCTGATGGCTTCTGGGTTTGCTTTTCTTCTTATCCACATCACCCCGCTTCTTGCATCTGAACTCCGCCGGAGCCGAGCCGACCGATGGCCCTGAGGCCCTGGCAGGTCCCGGACCTCGTTCCAATCTTTGGGGGCCTCAAATTGGTAGGGATCCTGGCGGACATGCGGGGTTCGAGGCGGGACCAACTGGCCCGCCATTTGGTCCGTTTGGGCGAAGGAGAAGAAAGGGGGGCGCACCGAACTCGATCGGTTCGTGTTGGGAAGGGAAAACCAAGACCCCTGACTACAGAGATGAAAGGTGACACTCTGACTCACTCAGAGCGAAGTGGAGAACTCCCTTTTCTGAAAAGGAGAAAAAGGCTTCTGTAAGGGACCTTCAAAGGGGTCACCAATGGAAGCCCCTACACTACTAAGGGGCCTCCATTGGACACAGGTATAAGGGACCACTTTCCACTTCCATGTGATGTGATGTGTTGGTCAGTGTATCCATGGACCGGGTAGGTATGATGCGTCCCTCTGCACACCATGCACACATCCACACCATACCACACCATCACCCCTTGTGAAGCAAAGGGGTGGAAGGTCGAAAGGTGGTCAGGCCAACGCTTGCGGCGGCAAGTGTTTGACCCTCAGGTTCTCAGAGCCAACAGGTTCTGTTCTCAGAGCTATTGTTTGACCCAACAGGTTCTCAGAGTCTCAGAATCTCAGAAGACAAGTCAACCACGGTGACCACTGCTTGGTCCAAGAGTTGCCCATCACCTGCGCCTGCCTTATGGATGCCATGGCCCGGTGGGCAAGACTTGGATCCTCCAAACGTATCCAAGTTGGCTTTTCCGTGGCAATTCACATGGCGCCCCATTGTTTCTCCAATCACTCCGGGACCTCCAGAAACAAACGTTAACGTTAGGTATGTGGTGAACCACTCATTGGTTATGCCTCAATCCCCTCCCTCTCCCGGAACCATCACGGAAATAGGTGGACAAAAGCGGAGATGTGTTCCGTTCGACTGGCTGGTTCTTGGAACTTCTTCGCCCTGCACAAGCTGGGCTAAAGCCCCAACGGCACCCAACGGCACGCCGTCCTACCTACCCCACCCAAAACGCCAAGTGCCTCCATAAAGCGGAGCAAGGCGGCACTAGGCCCATCTTCCACACCCAGCAAATTCTTCGTTTCGGCCCTCAGTTTCCGGGGCAAATCGGCTCGTCTTCTTTCCACCTCTTTCCCGCGGTCGTCGGGCAAAAGTCTGCACATGGGAGAGAAATCTTTGGGGGCAGAGATTGGAGGTCCAATAGGTCAATGTCAACGAGTTCAAGCGATATCCGCCGAACTATTGGGACCAAATTGCTGAACTCTTTGAAGTACTTACTTGCTGAACTCTTTGGCAAAGTGCCGTCATCTTGCCAAGTACCAGATTCACCCCAACAGCTCAGCCCGGGGCAACATCCGCCGTGCGACCAGCCATTCACCCTGGGAGTAGTTTTGATACCTTGGCGCGGGAAGTGCAGACGTGCTCTGTGATATCAATTCTGTGGGGAAGGGGGTGGAAACGAAGCAATAGAAGAAGAACAGCAGAAACAAAAAGGGACCACCCGGACCTTCAGTTCGTGACCTCTTGAGATCGCAAAAGAATGACTCCACACAGGCTCACTTTGCTGAAGGTCCAAACGAAACACGACTCAGTGCTAAGCGACCTCTTTCCTCCCCCTAGGAGACCTCCTAGTTCGACTGGAAGAAGGAAAGTAGAATAAAACCCATTGGTGGAGTGTCTCCTTATTAGAATACACTGCCAAACGGCCAAATGGGTGACTCATGCTAACACATGCCGAAGCACATCTGCGGCAAACAAGAAATGGTGAGAATGACACAGCAATTTAGAACGTCCACCACCCAACCGTCAAATGCGTACTCAGGTGAAGGATGTTGATTGGTTGTTAACATCTATCTATCCATCCATCCATCCATCTAAACATTCGTGTGTGTGTGTGTGATTCATAACCTCCACCCAATCGGCCAACTCCTACCGCCCTCCGCCCTTGCGCGTCGAATGCAGGGGGTCCGAACCCCATGTTGAACAGCTGGAAGAAAGGAATGGTGTACCTGCAGCACACAAAAGCGAGTGGAAAGAACCGACCAATGTGAATTCATCGCTCGGAACACCATCGCGGCGTTACGGGCCTCCACATTCCCCAAAAGGACACTCCGGGCGAACTTCCGCATCGGACCGCATGAAAAGGTCTCACAAGGGATCACAAAGGAAAGACAGTTCATGCATGTTGAACCCGACACGTCATCCTCAACCAGCGCAACTTATCAATTTGCTTTCAATAGACCACCAAATCATGAAGCACGAATCTCTTTCTCGGCCCCCAACTGTGTGTGTATGGGCGCTTTTAAGGCTCAAGACTTAAGACCACGGCTATATACATGTTCACTTGAGTTCACCACCAACGGACCACCAGCGGACCACGCCCCAACCCAAAAATCGCCCGCATCAGGGTTTGCAACTTCAAGGAAATCATGGGACTGCCAATATTTACCACCCCATTGGGGTGGTTGAAAAGGGGTATATAACTGCAGACTGTAGAGTGTAGACTTTTGTAGGCTCCTTTGATTTCCCTTCAAACACCGCAAAAGAAGAGGATCAAAAATCCATGTCTGGCGAATATTCTCATATATTCTCTCCATCAAGAGTCTGGGGAGTCTACCATGAGGGCCGGTCGCCTACCACGCACGGTGTGGTCTGGGAACTCCGGCCTTTGCCGCATCACCGTGATGGCTGGGTCGCTCTCAAAGGCGGTGACCATTCGGAAGTCCTTCCCACCCCGGCAAGATGACTACACGCCACAAGCCTTTCATGGGGTGAGAGTCATGTTGTGGGCTCTGAGTCCTGTAGAGCGAACTTTAGAGCCAAGAAAGAATCGGTGCCTGTATCTCCCTTTCCGCACTTTTTCAATCGGGCTTTCTTCAATAGATTCAGGATCCTAAAACAGAAACATATGAGTAAGACCCGCATCACATGTTATTTCAAGTGCGAAATGAACGAAAGAAACCCACAGCCAGGTCCTTTCCTCAAGAACAGCCACGTCACCCGCGTCATCCCACATCCCTTCAATCTGCTCTTGGCTCCTCGCTCCACTTCTCCTGCTTCTGGCTCGCAATGAACTGCCGCGCCCGGTAGCGATTCTTCCTCGTGGCGCGTCCACACAAAGCTGGCTTTCCGGGCTTGGCCATGTTTGGAGCCAAGCATTAGGCCCGTCTAAACTCGCCTCCAAGATGAGTGCCTCTAGAATAAAGAAGATGTGTCTGAACAGATTGGCTAGTTTCTCAATGATGATACTTATCATGACAACAACAATGTCTACAGTGAACATATATACATATATAATCATGATATATATATATAGGATTGTATAGGCTCCATTGGGACTGAGACCCAATAGAATTCCAACCCCTCCCCTCCCCCCCCAAAAAAGGACACACACACACACACAGAACCCGTGCGAGTCGACGTCTGCGCATGTCGCGACCGCGGGTCGCGGCGGGTCGCAACGTCTGTGACGCCCCGGCGTGCTCAAGGCCCACAGTGGGCCTTTGCTTTTGTCCACCTCGAGGCCTTGGAGAGAGACACGCGAAAAGCCCGGAGAGGACAAGTAGCATGTCCTTCGCGCGAGGTTGGAAGGGGAAATCATAAAGAGTGAAGAGGACAACGAGTGAATAGAAAGGACGTATTCGCTTTTTCTTTGAAGAAAACGAGTGAAGTGATCTTTCAATGAAGTAGTACTAGCGACTGGGAATCCATCTTTTGGAACAAGATCCAACCCTTTTGACAAGGGCAATGGGGGATAGTCTTGGGAGTCGTTCCTCTCTTGGCTTATCTCTCTCTCTCTCTTCCTTTATCTCCCTGTCTAGCGGCAACTACAATTGGCACAGCAGGCAATCAACCATAGTGGATCTTTCTTCCAGCCTTTTGGTAGATTTGTCGGCAACAGTGAAGCCACTGCCCCTCAAAAGTCCCAACGGCTGGTCCAAAACATGACAAATCAATGGATAAGAAACGACCCGTGCATCTGGAGGCTCAAATCTTGAAACCTCTTCCATCTCCCATGTTTACCGCAGGGCCAAACAATGAGTCCCATATTTCAGGGACCTCCCAGTTGCCCCATCTTCCTTCCGTCCCGTGGCGAACCGACTGCTCCAAGGCACTCAAAAAGTCGAGATCCACCTGAGCGACGAACAGCTGCCGCTTCTCGTCACGATCGTCCCCTGGGTCCCTGGGCCTCTTCCCATGACCCGTCACCGTGGAGGATGGAGAGCTTCTCAGGCCGACATCTCAAAGACTACACATGTCTCTAGTCAAGTAAAAGGAGCCCTCTCAGGTCCCTAGACACTATGTTACTATTCTTACATATGTTGTAACTTCATCATTGCATATGTATATTATGTATCTATAATAACTCCTCCACGCGCGGGGTGTTTTCCGACTGTTGCACACAGGGCCCATTCCACCTAATAACTCTTTTGGTGTAAGCATCTTAGAAGCGCAGAGCTTGATACCGGCTGGTCATGACCCTTGAACATGACGTGATCAAACTGAGAATCTTTATCGGGAAACTAATGTCCAAAAAGGATCTTGCAACGGAGCCGGATTTCATCTATACAACAGAGAGAGAGAGAGAGAGCTCCCATGAGCAGTGTGGAAACAGGACGACATGGCTCCACATCTTTAAGGGATCAACTTTCACATGAGCCTGTGGTCGTGCCGCTTCGCCGTCCGACACTTCATCCCATCTGTCATCCTCTAGGGTGCTGCAAGCAAAGTTCAAACCATTGAACCATTTTGGGGAAGGAAATGTGTGTCTAACCAATCTGGTGCTGTAGTTCGCCCAAGCCCACTCCAGCCCCGGTTCCCCCCCCGCCCGGTGTAGCTCAACGCCTGGTCCTGGCCCTCGACTTCCCCCCCCTCCACCGGGCCCTCGCACGCAGTATAGCCGCATGGGCACGGAGGAGCCCGAGAGCAGCACCCGGTCGATGAGACGGCCCTTGTTCATGAACTCAGCACAGCTCATCCGTTGGCGAGGATCGATCCGCGGCTGTCGCCCCGAAACGGTGTCGGAGGCTCCGGTGTCGGAGGCCGCGGCGCCAATGGGTGGAGGCCGCCAAGAAGCGCACTCTGCCAGCACCACCCCCCAAAATCTTCGGCCCAAGCATGTGATCGACTGCTTGAAGTCCTAAGTCCTGCAATGATCAATGACCAATCGAAACATCGGATACTCCACACACGCAAGCAGCAGCAACCAGCAAGCAGCCAAGAGCATCCAGCAGCACCAAGCATGCAAGCAGCAAGCAGCAGCAACCAGCAAGCAGCCAAGAGCCAGGCACAGATGAGATGCCAGCAGCAGCAGCAGCAGCGACCAAGCAGCAGCAGCAGGTACAGAGGAGGAGAAGGGTGGAGTTGAACCCCGCGAGGGGGGGGGGGTACAGTCCTGATATATCAGGTAACAGCACTCAGGTCCTGGGCTCCCACCCTCCTTGCTAAAGCAAGACAGACTCCAGCTAGCTACAGCTAGCTTTCGTGAAATCTTGGACTAGACTTCTGAGATTCCCACCCATCGCCTTGCAAAAAAAGGCCTTCTTCTTCTTCCATCTTCTTCCCTTATGAGCTTCCCCGCTCCCCCCCCAGCCAGCCAGCCACGTCCAACGTGTGGAATCGACCTGGGCGCTCGGGACCTCCAAGCTACAAAGCTCCATGCAGGACTGTGCGATCACCACCGGTACGCCATAGACCTAGTTTGCGGCTCGCGGCTGGATGAGGACGAACGACTCGGGGCGTGTGTCTTCGACGCGCCGTCGGTCGGGCGGGTTGTGGGCTCTCGGATGTGAGTGGAGGCGGACGCTTGATGAATGGGACTGTGACTGAGTGGTCCACATCCGAATTCTTCCAAGAATAGACCTAGACCGGCCGAGGGGGGGCTACAGCTGATCCTGATGTGGCTGTGCTTTACCCCTTCGTCCGCGCGCGGACGGCAGAGCACTGTCCGAGGTCGACCAGGGGAGGAAGACTGAGATGACGTGCAGCATGCCCAGCAGAAGAACAATCACACTAGAAAGAACCCACCCCATTTGTTGGGCTTTGGGCTCCCCTCCTGGGGGGGCGAAACCAAAACCCCCCGTCTGCCGTTGTCTTCCGCTCCTGCCGTCTGCCGTCACGACTCGCCCGGCGGGTGGTTTGGAGGGGGGAAGGATCTGAAGACGACGCGCCTGTGTACACCGTTCGACACTGGACGCGATGTTCACCTTGGCCCGTCGGCCAAACGCGGTGGCCCCCGGTCGGATGGACGCAGGGCTGGGTGGACCAAACCGGGAGACCTGCGGGATCTTCTCGGGGGAGATGTGTCCAATCCAAACATTGACATGTTGAAAGTGTCTCATTGGGCTATGTTGAGATCACTCGACGGTTGTAACATGTGGCCGTCATTGGTTTTGCATGGCTTTCCGAAGCTTCATGAACAATCCTTAGCCTTGTGTGCGTGTGTTTGTCTCGCTGCCCTATGGGCTCCAAGCCCCCAGGAATGTGATTCAGACTGTTTACAATCCAGGGGGAAGAAGCCCTTTTTCCCTCTCTTCACATCTTCATGAGGCTCCCTCCTTCCATGTCTGCAACTTGGCAGATTGCTGCACTGCTGATCTGTGATGGGCTTGAGAATGGGCTTTCCACCCAAAACCTGCTCAAATCCATGGGCATAATAATGGACAAAGGACATCTCCCCCAACACCTCCATCTGCGTCAAGGGATTGGGCCAAGTGCCCCGGCATTTGGTGAGACGTAGGAGGCATCGATCTTGAATTCGCTACCCACAGCGCCCTGGGCACAAGAGGCATCGCTACGCGAAGGGCGTGCAACCTGCACACACCTAATCTCATTTCTAGGACCTCAAAAACTGCTCAACGCCACCGCCTGAAAGTATGAGAAAGCATATTGAGATGGAGAGAAAGCACACACCAAAAAGCACACAGGAACAAAAGAAACATCTTCGTTCGCTCAGCACCGCACTTCGATCGCCCAGCCCGCATGGAGGCCGAAGCTCAGGTTCACTCGAACCTCCGAGGCTTCGGCACCTCGGGCAGAGCGCGAGCGCGGAGCGCCAGGAGCAGCGGAGCGCGGAGCTGCGGGGGGGGCGACACGCCAAACAAGCCGGTTCTGAGGCCCGAGCCGTTGGCTTTTTCCATCCGTTCGCCATTGGGAAAGCAATCCTCTTTAAAAAGAGAAGGGTTCAAGGGGTTCAAGGTTATTCTCTGACTGGCTAGGCATTGAAGACCGACCAAGTTGTTCAGGGGACCAAGTTGCACACATTTGTCCATTCCTGAGCACCCGGGCCATTTCTTGCTTGAAGCCGGTATTGAAGCCCGGGATGCGTTCGGTAGTCTGACAGGCGCCGAAGTTCCAGAAATGCAAGGTCCACTCCAGGCCAGTGCTGTTGGATGCGGTTATTAGCATCAAACTGGGTTTCGTCCAGGAAGTCTACTCACATCTTGGAAGGAGGCAGGGCAGCTCATCCCAACAGTGGGTGTGAATTCCACGCTGAAAGTCTCCTCCGCGTCCCCGTTTCGGCACGTCAGCCTGCTAAGAGAGCTGAACGATGCAGCGCACCTCAGTGGCTCACACGGGGCAACACTGCCAGTCAGAGTGTCGAGATACATGTTGGGGGGAGGCTGAAGATGACCAGATGACTCAATCCTGAGCGAACCCGGCCTAAGATCTTGCAGAAGGCTAAGATGGACATCTCTGCAATGCGGCGGCTCTTCTCCTTCTTCTCCTCCTCCTGACCACGGCAGCATGGGCAGTGGGTGGCAGAAATGCTTCAGCTCGCGGCTCGCTCACTCCGAGAAAGCTCACATTGAAAGTGGAAAAACCTCCGCCCATCCGGAAAGGAACGTCGTCCTCCGAAATCGGGGGCCCACGCCAGCCCACGTCGATGCTTTGTGGAGTGTGCCAGCGCCGCGAAGCTCGCCCGCGGCCGCGGGCCTCCCGCACGGTCTCGGTGTCCATGCGCCAAATCACCAGGAACTGATCGCCGCTGTTCTTGTTGGGCGACTGGCGCGTGGAGGGGATGGGTCGGAGGTCTGGTCAAGACTTGAGCCGGAGGGCTGGTGAAGGTGTGGTTTTTCTGTACACGAGTGTTGCAGTCTTAGGATGCCAATTGCACATATATATATATATAATAGTTAGTTACATATTATAGGTTCTTCATGGATGTTCAATCACTGAACCTGTCTCTCTCTCTCTCTCTATAGCCCTCTCTCTCTCACACTCTCTCTGGGGTCATCTCTGTGCAGCTGGCGGCATGTGTCCCGCTCATAGCGACCCTCGATCCGGCCAAGAAGACCGAACGCGCCAGTGAGACCCCATGGAACTCATCGACGACTCCATGGATGATCTCAGCAATCTGATTCACAAAGGTCATGATGCGCCCCTGCAGCACCTGCCCCCGTGCTTTTGCAGCTCGGCGTTGAGGGAGAGATTTCCTGGTCGTCCAAGAGTGCTTCCTTGGGGGGGGGTGTGCTTGAAGCTTTCAAGTGAAGCAGCCGGTCATGGGTCACCAGCAGGTCCGTGCGCATGAGTCCACTCGCTCCCCTGAAAACAGGTCAGAGTCCAGAACGAAAGCCTTTCAGAATGCGACGGAGAAGAACCATTCGTGAGGAAACGATGAGCCTCCTTCTAAACGCGAAAGGCCTTCTGAAATGACCCTCGTTTAAAGAGGGTAGCTCAAATCCTGACACACCACACCACAATCCAATAGAGTCTGGCACTGATTAGAGCTTGAGCACTAAATGAAGTCAAAGGTCGACTACTGATGTACCATACCCTTCTTCAAAAATACCATAAAAACTCCATCACTTTTCGCCGATCCTCACACATCCCATCCCTGCACTGGCCTCCGTGGCCGTGCTGAAGTCTTGGACCCGACAAAGCCCGATGACGCAATCCACGCGCAAGCCCGGCAGGATCGCATTGACCCCCGCCGAGTCGGAGCCTCACATCGATCCCGCGCGCGCCGGGACGCAGGAGGAGGGGCTCCTCCACCCCGGTGTCTGCGGTCGGACGAAGCGTCTCCGTTGTGTGTCTTGGGTGGGGAGACGTTTCGAGGAAGAGACATGCCAGGTCTGGAAGTGGAGCCCATCTTTGGTTCAATAGCAAGGTGCACTCGGGGGTTACTCTGTAGTAATGGCCCGTTGGAGGATGTTGGAGGGGGTCTCCCAGCAAAAGCTATGGCAGCTATGGGAACAGTTGCATCCAGATGGTGGGAATGCAACGCCAAGGAAGCTCAAGTGGGTTTCGTGGAAAGTCCCCTTGCGTGGCCCACATGTTCTTTCACAAAGAACGGGGCTTCCGCCAGTCGGCCAGCTGCAGTCAGCTACTTGCTGCCACAACGTCTTGTCCCAAGCACTTCTCAGTCTGATCCTTTAGGATTTATAGCACGACTTCTCTAAAAAAGAGTCCCCTTCGCTGGCCCAAACGCGGGCCGACTTTTTCATCGCCACTCTAATAGGTCGCCAGTGGTTCCAGTGTGCCGAATCCTGAAGAGCTACAGAACTCGTGGATCAGCTTATCCGGCTGTCCCCCGAACGTTCAATGACTCAATAGAAACTCCACCTAGGAGTCCAGGCCGGAGTAGTTCATGAGTCATGACTGGACTCTCAGGGGTCATTGGCGAGATCAATCCAACTGGATTGCTGGTAGATCCAATTGGACTCACAGTTGGTTATTGTGGATATGCATTGGTGAGATCCAACTATGAATCCACTTGTTTCTCCCCCCATTTGCTCCACCCGCTCCCGCCTTTCATGTTGTGCGAGATGATGTTGGCGCCCGCCTCCGGGATACAGACTTGACCACAAGGACAGGGACAACAGGGACGACTGGGAGCTTGTTCTCATCCAAGCTTTCAAACCATGTGAGAAACACCAACCAACCCCTTGCTTGCATGGTCTCACGGATGACTGACTCACTTGAAATAGTCAGGTGCGACTAGCTTGCAGCATCCCCCTCCGAGCCGCCCCCAACTCGCAACTCGCAACCAGCGGGTCTCCCTCCCAGGGGTCCACTTCCATGAAGAGTGCTCATTCAAAGTGGAAGAGTGATCCAAGGTGTTTTCAATCCACCCCCTTCAACCATCTTCAACCCACACGGTCGATAACCCCAAGGAAGTCGGTCTACTTAATCTGCTACTTCTGAAATGCATCCATCAGGATCAAACCTGAGAACCCGCCAGATTCGAACCGTCCTCAAGGGATACAACCCCCTCGCCTCTCCAAAGCCAAGCGCCAACAAAGAACCCAGCCTCAGAGAAGCACTGCTCATGCACGTGGATGGTACGGGGGCCGAAACTGGTCACAGCAATCCGTGGTCAACACCCACAGCTGACGGACCAAAGGCTCATCCAAAGCGGGATGCGCTTGCAAATCCTCATCATGGTTTGACTTCTTTTGATTCCCAACCCACCTCGAGGTCCAGCACAAGATGTAAAATCTCCACATGCTGGATGTTGCACCCTTCAAGAGTTTTGGAGGCTCTGACACCAAGAGGTGGCGGCTAGGCTTTGACTAAAACGTCACGTACATTTTAAGAAAGGTTGATCCACGCCACGCCCCAAAAAAGCCTTAGCGGGCAGCAGGTGACGAATCCTTGCCATCCGTCGGCTTGGGAATCCAAGCTTTTGAAAAAGGTGCCAAGTGAGAAGGACCAACCCTTGGCTTGTTTCAAAAAGAATTCACTTGCTTGTCCAGCTCCCCCAGCTCTCCAGAAAACCCCCACCTGCCAGCTCCACCCCCTGAGCTCTTCCGCTTGATGATGGTCTTCTCCAAAATCACCGTCTCCATCGGCCCCTCCTTCGCGGCCTTGGTGCGACTCCGCGTCGGACGCTCCCACCACGCACCGAATGGATCCTCAACATAGAGACAGAGAGAGAGTTTTGAGTCATAAAGCAGACTAAAACGAACTAGATCTAACTAGACAATACTAGACATGTTGCACCAGGAAGATGTAACCGAAAAGTCTATCACAGCAGCCCGAGGCACCGAATCCGTCCACCCCCCCTACCAACCGCAACCCGGTCTCCCGGAGGTCCTTTTGCGGCCGCTTTCGGGGCTCCCCTTCACCGGAAGGACCGGTCTATCTGGCCTTTTGAAGGCTGGACCAGCGGCGGTTCTTGTGCCGCTTCGCTAAGGTCAAGGTCACCTTCTTGGAGTCCACTGAGGCCCGATGTCTGCACTGATCCACTTCGATGCTCCCATACAGCGGCCTTAAGGCGGGAAATTGAAAGCTGAAAAGGCGGGTGAAAACTCGAAAACCGCGACGAGACCCAAAAGTAAGTAACATGGGCATGACAACTTGAGTGCAATTCCTTCATCACGGCTTAAGTTACTAAAGTAACTTGTTGGTAAGGGCGAGGAAGTGGTTGGTCCGAAGGATGTCCGGTACATGGTCCTAGGGCCAAGTGGTTGGTCCCGTGGCCAGGCTCAATCCTCATTCTGGCTGGTTGGTGGAAGGGGGGTAGCAGTGAAAAGGATGTGCTCATGGATGTGGGAGCACCCTCTATATACAATGTACAAGTTTCATCCAGGTATGTAGATGGCAACATTTCAGCCCTATACCATAGTATCCATCGTCCTTGAACAGCTAGCAAGCGCATGGAACTTTCCTGCCGGTGGCTAAGGTTTCCCATATTCGATCTACTGCGGCATTTGATGAGAGTTTACGGGTGCTCCATGGTCTTCGAGGCACCTCCTGCAGCCTCCACCCACTCGCCCAGCCACTCGATCTTCAGTCTGAAGCTTGCGTCCTCTGTCCGGAGCTTCAGGTCAAAGGACTGGTACTCAAAGCACACCTATGGACGCTTAGATAAAAACGCATGCGCAGCGCGTGTGGGATCCGAGGTCTGCCAAGCACATGAGTCACTCGCCTCTCGCCTCATTGACTCTCTCTCCCTCTCTCTCTCTCCGTAGAACCTCACCTTCCTGGAGTGGATTTCCGGCGACGGACCTCAGACTCCTCTGGGAGGGTCGGTTCCGTCGAATGGAGGCAGAAACCATGGTTTGCATGCATCGGTGCCTCCAGTATACCTGTTCTTTGTCTTCTGTGCGCGCGCGTCCGTGGCAACAACAAATCCAGGCCCGACCCAGCGCTAGTGGGGCAAGCACTGGGCACCCAGCCCGCACCTCCAAGTTCTCTTTCTTCCCCAAACTTGCAGAGGCCGAGTCCGGAAAGGTGATGTAAACCTTGACCTTGTCGCCTGCTTGCCAGGCAGCAAGGCCATCGTAGACTCCACGCAGGTTTTAGGGCCAGGTTCCAGATTCGACATGTTTGATGTGGTTACCTATGAAGCGACAGTAGACTGACCAAAATCAAGGGGAGGGCCTGGGCCTGAGAAAAGTAAAACAGGAAACGCAGGAAACCTGCCTTCGTCATTGAAGAGATACTCCTCTAGAAGTGTGAACCTCTCTTCCAAGATCGAGGCTGACTCTACATCCAGTCGGATGGGAGCATATCCCGAATCCTTCATGTCATCGGGCAGCTCCCAATCGATGCTTCTCAAGGCATAGCCAAAATTGTCCTTCTTGGACGAGACCTCACAGGGTAGGTCGCAGCACCCCAAATCTCCCTCGTTCCAGTGTTTGCAAACCCAACTTAAGAAGGAACAAGCCGATACACCAACCTATACAGCAATAACGATGCGATCGACCGAGCAGTTAGCGACCTCGCTCCACCCTGCCTGAAATAGTTTTTTGTTGGCTGGCTGCGACTTGATCGACACCCACATCTTGGTGATAGCCTCCATAGACGCCTCCTGGGTTGCAACACGTGATGCAAAAATCCCGACTAGAAAATTATGGAGTTGTCTCAGGCCTTGACGAAACCCAGGAAGCATATGACTGGCAAAGTCACTGGAACAAACTTCAGCGAAACAGTTTTGGAACCTGTCCGAGCATTGAGTCCAGAACACCTGGGCTCAGTTGGTAGCCTCCAAAACCCCCAACACCTGGGGCCATCCAATCTGGGATCCGGAGGTGTGTGGCCTTGCCTCCTAAACCATGTTTCATCAGGTCAGGTGAGGAGAGTGCGCTCTCTCCTATCTATTTGGAAGTCATGACTAAAGTTTACTAAAGTACACTTTTTGCCGAAGCGGTCTCCCAAAAAAGGAAAACCGCTTCGAATCCATCTGAGGAATTTGATCATTGCAAAGTCACAAGAAGTCGGTCGAGTAGATGGTGGTTTCAGAGTAGATGGTACAAACCGCACTGGCACCCCAAGATGTCTTTTAGATGGGGATCCATATAAACCACCTTTGGGGGGATTGTGCCATCTACTCTCAATCCACTGTAAAGAAGACTAAAAAGTTGCTGAACATCATGGTGTCGGAGCCCTGCATGGCCAGGCTTATCATCGCCTTCATCTGGATGGGAACATTCTCATCAGTGTTGGGCTCGAGGCAGGCCTTCTCCATCAAGTCCAAGGCGCTCTTGCCCGCGTACTTTCCTCTTTTTGCTGGCATCCGACATTGAGTGGAGGAACTGAAAAGTGGAAAGCAACATACAAAAACTCCCCCCAACACCTTCTGGGAGAAGCAATGGCAAGCAGCATGTTGAAAGAAACAGCTGTCACAAACCCTGCTTGTGTGGATGCATGCTTGAGCTGACATGGATGCATCCATGGATGGCAGGTGCATGCTAAGCCTTGGCCGGTTGAGCACCCCCGAAATCACAAGGGCGCCTGCTCTGGGAATTTGCCAGAGACCCCCCAATTCGTTTGATCACCTCCTGTCCATCCAAGGTGAGCTCTCCCTGACCCTCATTGAAACCCCATGATGGACTGGACTTTCCAATGCGTGTGGTTGTTCTTCGATGGATGGATCGGGCCCCTCACAACCGTCTGACGGGAGCATGTTCACTCACAACCCTTGACCTTCAGCTCCGGCAGTCTGAAAAGCGAACCTGACGCGCGAGAAAATGGGCACCTCTCGCTCTCTCTGCGCGAAAAACCGTCCCAGGTCATGGAAGGAAATCGTTTTCCTCATCCACAGTGCAGAACTGCCCAGTCAGGCCAAGTCTCCATCCTTAACCCTGTAGTGAGGATCGGCCTTGCGAAAGAGCAGCTGGGCACAGAGCTGGACGCCCTTACCATGCTGTCGGTAGAAGTGGCACGCATAGATCAAAGGCCTAGGAGTCCGGCCGGACCTGCTTTGCACAGCGGCTCCTACTTGCGCGGCCACAAAAAGGCATGCTTGTAGAAGAAAGCACAACCTGTGCATATCCTCCATCTCCATCAACATTCATTGGGCGAAGTGTAAGCAAGTTCAAGATCCAACAAACGTACCCTGTACCCAGCATTACCAGTGGAGTACCGCCCCGTGCTCACCCCCTGACATCTCAATGTCGCGTGGCGTGTTGCCGCTCATGTCGCGCTGGTCGATGTGGGCGCCATGGGCGAGGAGGAGCTCTGTGAGGAACATCTCGCCTGCTGAGTGGAATGACACCCACAATCCCCACACCACAAAAGTGCAGCGCACAAATATATATATATATATATAATATACTATACTATCCTATGCTATACTCTATACTCTATACCCTATACCCTATACCCTATACTCTATACTCTATACATATACATACACATATAATATGGAATTATGTGTTGACTATATAATGACTATATATTGTAATTTGGAATTCAAGATCTTTGCCAGGACCTGGATGATATTAGTGCCTTATTTTGTTTAAGGGCTTCCTTTGAATCACTTCTGACAGCAGCAAGTCTTGGACCTGATTCGGCGCTCTGAGGAGGGCGGTCTGAAAGACTTCTTCCGCACTGATGCGAAGTGCTTCTTTGGGGTTCTTGGGTGTCTCTGTCTCTACTCTAGCTGCTCTTCAGAACTCCAACCCTGTCTCACCTTCGCTCTTTCACATGAAATCTGCACCCTCTTACGCCACGCCAAGCTTCGACGCGGCGCCCCACCCCGAGACCCGAAGTCAGCACTTCACCGCCGACCGTCGGCACTTCACCGTCCTCGAAGCGCGGAGATGTGAAGGGCGGACATACCCGCGCCGCAGTCGGCATTCACCTCAGCGCCCTGCATGATGGCATCTTCGCATTCCTCACAGACGAGTGGGTGCCGCCTTCTTTTGTTTCAGTGGAAGGGGCACGAAAAGGTTCTTAAGACATCGTAAGAATTTGGAGTCAGTTCCTGAAACCCTCTTGGACACGTGTTCACACCTTCCAGCACGCCAGCACCCCAGCCACCGGGCGCATCAAGCCGGCTCCTCAAAGTCGTCCTTGGCAAGGGCTTGGACCATCCGCTTCGTGCACTCCTCGGCCGGACACCGAGGCACTCCAACCATCTCCGCTTGGTGCACTCGGGAGGCCTCAAAACTCCAACTTGGGTCTATCCTATTACCAGTAACCGTGGATGATGATGGTAGGTATAAAGACCTTTCTCAAAAATAGTGATTTGCTTGTTTACTGACTGTTACAGGCAAGTTCGGACAAATCCAGGAAGTCCAACCATCTTCGTTGTGATAAACCATTGCAGGATGTGCATCGGCCAAGCGGCATTGGGCTCCTTGTAGGGAGCCTTGATTTCGGCGGCCTCAAACAAAACCAGCCGCGAAGTCACAAGCTTTCAGAACGCTCTCAGGAACGAAAAGAATCTTGCGCCCACGATGTTGGAATGAAATCGTAGATTATTCCTTTTTGTAAGCATCATTATGAAGTCAACCCCTTGGAGTATATTTATATCAAAAATGTTGGAAGCGTTTGCAACTTAGTATCCACATCATCTGGGTTCAGATTGGTCACTGCCAACCGGCCCAGCCACACAACACTCGCATTAGCTCGTTCACCATCATCCCGTGCGGACAACGTGCGTGCACTGCGTGGTTTCCACGCCTCCTTCATGGCAGCTTCGAGGGCATCGCTTGCGGAGACCTCTGCAGCCAAAACGGGCGGATGCTGCCGCGTCCGCGATGGTAGAGACCAATACCCAGACACTCCATGTATGTCATAATCATATATGCATGCCAAACTACCCCAATGTAGGCTCATATATGTATATATATACCTGGACCCTGAAACGATGTCTTTTTTTCCGTCTCGCCAGAAAACATGACGCAAAAACATGCAGCAAATTCGCGATAGAAAACATGACGCCAAAATGACGCAGAAGTGACAAAAAACAACGCAGAAGTGACAAAAATCGACACCAAAACTGTTTGTTGTGTGGGTTTTTTGAGCTTCGCCTGAAAATTGCCCTCACCAGAAAAAAATACGTCTTTTGCGGGGTCTAGGTATGGCATACATTCATGGACTGTCTGGGATAGGATCCAGCCAAATGCCAGCGAAATGCAAGGACGTCCCCCAAATCAGCACGAGATCCACCACGCCCCTCTCTGCGCCCCCCCCCGAGTCGCACCTCAGGCTCTCGAACAGCTGCACGCTGCACAGCAGCTCGTCCTTGGCGGGTTGGGGGACACCGAGCGTCCGTCCGGGGCTTGGGCCGAGGCACTGAGCCTCTCCACCACCAAGCCATACTCGTCCTCGTCCTCACCTCGCGTTTGGGGACCCAGGTGCGGTGGGAGCGGTGTTTCTCGCCTTCTTTGGGACAGGCTGGGGCCTGCGGGTCAAAAGGTCTCGACGTCTTTGAGGGGTTCTGGGTGAAGTCCAATTGCTCCCAGGACACTTGGCTCACCTTGCACCTCTGGAACTTCTTCCACCGGAGCCGCGGAAGCTGCGGCTTCCGCCGATGCGGACGGCTCGGGAGGGAGCTCTTGGCCATCTTCGCCCACCAGCGGGGGCAGATCGTCCTCCATGGCGCCCCGCGGCGCCGCAGAAAAAGGGCCGCGGTGTTTCCGAGGCTATAGGTGAAAACGACTGGCATGAAATCTCAAAGTGGAAGAACTACTCCAAAGCTGTTGACGTATTGACATGTTTTTGGAAATAAACATCCTTAAGCCAAGTGCTCTGAAGGCGCTCGCCATCCGACAGTTTGTTCGTTGCATCTGACTCGTGATTTCACCGAAGTAGGTCAACCGATTGCCTGTTGACTGTTGACTCACCCTGATTCGGAAAGTCAATTTTCTCGTGGCCCACCCATCCGCCATACTCTTGGAACCCAAAAACTTTGGCCGGATCAGGCCTCATCGCACCCTACAACTTCATACAACTTCAACGGGATTCAACAGGCCCTCACCGCCGAAGTCGCTTGGGAACCTCATCCTTCGGATGGGCGACGGATGGGCGGACCACCGCGAGCCCTTCGTGTCCGCGGTCCGCGGTCCGCTCGGCCCACGGACGGCGAAGCAGCGGCAGGAGGACACCGCATTGATCAACTGAGCCACGGCGGCGTTCCGCGTCGCTGGTCATCGTTCGGCGGCATCGAAACTAGCACGGCCGATGCTGGACCGAGCGGAGCTGGGTCTGGTTCCGGACTTTGGTCAAGGCCCAGAACTCCCCTTTCCCTGAGAGATGCTGCTGTCCATCTTCATGCGTCCAATCCAATCCACGAACTGGCCGCCAAGCTGAGGGCAGAACCCTGGACACACAGCCCTGGCGTTTGATGCGGTACTTCCGCAGCTCCTCCAACTTGAACCTCGGCTCGACCAGCGGTGCTTGCACACGCACTCGAGAGAATGCGTGTAAAGTGGCTGAACTGGGAGGCTGTTTGGAACCTGTGGGCTTAAACAGCATGTGGGGCGAGCTGGAGAACTGTGGACTTGGCGAAACCGGTGGACAAAAATGGACGGATTGCAGAAGATGTTGGTTGCTAGGGGCCTCTGAAAAAATAGACTACGTATATATACCATATATATATATATATGTGTAATAATTGTGGTGTGTGTGTGTGTGTTTTGTTTCGACCTATGAAATCGGTAGGTAGCCCCAGTTTTTAAACATCCCAAGTACAGTATGTGGTCTGCCGTTCTGCTGAGCTTTTACCAAACACTCCCAACTCCGCAAAAAGGACTCCAAGTCTCCCATGGTTTACCTTCCAACAGCTACTCTCCGAGGATCACTCCCATGGTTTACGTGGAGTTCACCCGTTAGGAGTTTTTGGGCCTTTGGATGCCTTTGGACCAAATGCTCCTCCCGCAGGGGCCATGCCATCCCCTGAAGGTCAGGCAGTCATGCGCGTCGCGTGGACCCGCCGAACCGCGGGAGAATCCAGGGCCCAAGTGGCTCGTCGTCGGCCATCTGCATGGCAATCAAAGGGTTATCACCTCAGAACATTCGTCATCCAAGTCATTCAATGAAGCCAGATCATTCGTCATCCAAGTGTAGGAATGTGACTCTCATCCTTCATTCAAACAGCAGTTTGATGATTGTGCTGAGCCATGGTGCAAACTGAGGTTTGGCTTGGAATGTTAACCCTCAATCAACTGATATCAGCAGAGATGCCAATAGCACCCTGACGACTTCATCGCAATGAAGGAACCGGGGCCGCTGAAATCTCGTGTATAGGTCGGGCCAGGCTGGGCAGTTGATCTCCAAAAACAACGCTGCAAAGCACGGTGCCAGATCGAAACAAACAAAATGAAACAAAAGGAATGAAATCCCAAAAAGCTGGCGCCACACCCCAAGACGTTGTGTACTCTTCATGTTCTTTGGAATGGAGTTCGGTGTGCCGCCAGGTCTGGGCGGCCCACTCCGTCTCACACCGCTGCACTGGCCACTCTAAGATCGACACGAATCGCCTTGACGCGTCGGATCATTTGCTCCACCTGATCATCCCCAGAGGTGCGGCTCGGCCACGCGAGTGCCGCGTTCCGCGGGAGGGCACGGGCAGGAGTGGGGAAACAGTGGATCCAAACCCAACACAGTCACCTGCAGCCCGGCTTCAAGCGAAAGAGCTAAACAAGTTGCAGTAACAGAAGGGATTCAGGCAAGACTCTTTCTCATTAGAACAGCCATTCCTCTACCAGTCTGACCTTGTTGTCCAATGTTTGCGGCACCGGGGACATCAGGAGGCTGTTTTGTTGGCAATTCTTCCGTGTTGGGCACGCGCAACCTCCGGACCCTTAGCATGACACTTCTAGGCACACACTGATACACCAAGACTAGATCTACTACTTTATGATGAACTGTCACCAGTGGCGTAACTGTACTGAGGTCAGCGCCGGGTTCACGATCAGCCGGTTAGCATCTCTTGAGAACATGAGCGACCTCACAAAGGCCCGTGTCTCTCGAGACGTCGGCAAGTACGTGATCAAATCAACCAGCCAATGTATGCCAATGTATGAGGCAACCAACCAACCAACCAACCAACCAAGACCTGCCTAGCAATCCACCAACCATCTTACCTACCATCCAACAAGGTACTGTAAGACTTCACAGCTGCATTACACATCTTGGGGCCCATGCCCCGCCAGCAAAAGCACTAGAACGAAGCCAGTGGTTGCAAGACCTCGGGCCGTGCCAGTCCAGCGGGGTGGATCCCGGACACGGCCGTGAGTGGAAATTCAAGGGTTCCAAAGGAGTGGTGCGTGGGTTTCAACAGCGCATTGGTCCCCTCCCTTCACTTCGGGTTTCTGAAGGTTTCCAAAACTGCTTTGGAACTGCTCTGTGTGGAATTCTTTCGGCTCTGTGTGGACACGTCTCCATGCGTCCGATGCTTGAGCCACTTTGAGCCGAGAGACGAGCCATCAGAGCCACACTTTCTGAGACGTTGGATCTGAAGGTCGGATCAAACATGGCATGTTCCGGCAGAGCTGTGCCGAATCTGTTGGCGTGTCTATTTACACTCCCTGAAACCATCATTTAAGGTCCATCTATGTGATGCATAATGATGCATAAGTAGACCTCTGGAAGACCATGTTCCATATTTTTACTCTACAAGAGGGTCCTCGTCGGCTTCCATGATTGTTGGAGGGGGGATAAAAACTCTAAAGGTGGCGCGTGCAATCATCACCCATCCTCCAGCAAATAGATACGCAAAGAAAGGCCCAAAGCCATCCAAAGCCCCATGCAAACGTTGATGAGACACAGGCCGTCCTCCCTCTCCCCAAGCTCCTGCCGAGCCGCTAAAAATGGCCGTCTCCCTATTAAAGAGCCTTGGCGAACGGCCGCTCGCCGGCGCTCTCGCTC